AGGTTTTCAGTGTGCAATAGCATGTGGTTTGCCTCAAGCTTGACCTGGGTTATTTGGGTGAAAGCACCAACGTTAACCCAGGTTAGCTTTTGGCCCAGTGTTTACATGACAGAATTTAAGCAATTTCAACCTTTCTAGCCAGGTCAACCCGATTCTCGACAGTGGGTGTAAACCTTTTAGCCGGATCAACCCAAATCTCAACATGAATCACCTTCTAGCCGGATCAACCCGAGTCTTGACAAGGGTTACCCGGCAAGGGGGCTGACCTAGCTTCACTAATTTTTTCATGTTACAGCGCGAACAAGCATTTGACTGCAAAAGGGTTACCCTTTGTAGTGATTCAACCCAGGTTAGAAAGTAACCCGGGGTTAATTGTATAAATAGGCCCTTAGAGGGAATATCATTGAAGAAGAATATAAACTAGGGTATTTAGCATGCTAAGACTCTCCTATCACTGGGGGTATCACAAAATTAAACTTATTTAATCCGTTTTACAGCCATTTTGTCTGGTATGGCCTACTAGAGGCCAACATGATTCAGAACAAATATGATTAGAACTCTGATAAATGTTCCACCACCGGTATCACATTGATATATGAATATAGTGCAAGGGTGCCTGTTTATGTGCCACCAAGCTTCCCCTAATCTGAAACAAATTCCTGTTTCAGCAGGTTGCCTTTATTGGAAGGACAAGTGTTGGTAAATCCTCTCTTATAAATGCATTGTTGAACCAGAAGAAACTTGTCAGGACATCTAAAAAGCCTGTATGTAAAATACCTATAAAAATCATATATCATTTTTACACCCCCAAAAAGTAATACCTTCGTATTTTCTATAGATTTTGGGAACTGTATTTTGCACCGCTGTTAGATTTTGGGAGATTATGTATTAATGTTGTAAAAACTAACAACCCAGACAAATGAATTGAAAATCTGAGATGTGCTTCCACAGTACTGTGTAGTTCAGTAAAAACCTTTAAAACGTTGAAAATCACCCTTAGCTACCTTGTCATCTTTGTGGTCATCATCACCATCCTCAATATCATTGTCATCATTATATTCCGTCCTTATCATGCCATGGGACACATAAGACCTCACCCCACCATGGAAAGCACCTTTTATGAGCACCTTCTTAATGAGGTTAATTTTAACTTTCTATTTTGGATTAAAAAAATGTGAAAATACAGTTAAATAGTTTTTTTTCTTTTGACTGTGTTGTTTTCATTGTGCAATATGCCTTTTTTTCAAGGGTCACACACGACTTGTCAATTTCTTCAACATTGGTTCAAAGATGTACCTTGTGGATCTACCTGGTTATGGCTATGTAGCAGGCCTAGGAAGCAAGCGTGGTACTGAGCACTTTGTTAATGTTGCAGAATCCTACCTTAAAGAACGGGCTGGGAAAGAGTAAGTTGATAATTATTTTCTCCATCTTTGTGAAAACAGTTTCATCATCTTCAGTTCCTTCTCCTGCATGGCAGAAGGTAACAAGACAGTGCTTGGTGTAAAATTACTGTACATTAAACTTTTTACAGGTTAAGAAGTGTTTGTCTCCTTATTGATGGAAAAGTTGGAGTCAAGAAAAACGATCTGATAGCATTTGAAATGATGGGAGAATTTGGGGGCCCTTTTCAGGTGAACTTTCTTTATTTTACTTGTAACATGGTAGATATCATATGTAGTCTTCAAAGTGATGTTCAGGTTGGCAGAGAAATATGCTGACAAAAAATGGAGGACAAAAGATGTGGTTCATTTGATTGATCCGTGTTTCTGTCCAAGCTTTAATTTTCAAGTACAAACCCATAAAATTAATTGTTGGTCAGGACAGGTTTGATTATAATAACAATAACAATTATAATAGTAATGATAATAGCTGATATAAATAGGTGATTTTCACTCTTGATTATATCACTCTGTGCCTCTGATTACAATTCCAAGTACGACTCTGTTGTTGTTGTTTTTTTAGTGAAAACCAGCTTCAAGTTTCAAACTGTGTAAACAAGGCTTGGCATAGTGTTTAACATTCAGCAACTGACGAAATGTAATATGGACAAGATTACTCTTTGTGTGTATTTTGAGCCCAGTTAGAGCAAAAAGTCTAATGCGAGACTCTAGAATAGACAACTCCGAACATTTCAATGGGCATATAAAGAAACTTAAGGTAGCAACTTATCAACAGGGCAGTACACATTGCACATGTATAGAAATTCGTTATTTTTTTACTTGAGATAAAGTTGGTTCACTATAGCTCTAACTTCTTTTGTTGGTGTAGGTTGTTCTTACAAAAATGGACAAGCTTCCCATAGTAAGGCATCAAATGATGATAGAAGAAGTTTACAAAATAAAAGAAGAGTTTGGACTGAACAATTGTTTTCCCCATATATTTCCTGTAAGGTAAGTTATTCTAATTGATGGTCCCCATATTCGGACTTCTGTTTTATAAACAAAATCAAATCAGGAAATTAACTGACTATTAGCAAGTACTAGCCCGCAAGGGCTACGGGCCAATAGCCCATGAGGCGAAGCCGAATGGGCTATTGACCGGTGTGGCCCTTGAGGGTGAAGGGTCTAATTGTTTTAGTATCACCCAACTAGTTGGACAGAAAAGGCAATAATAAAGTAAGCAAATGCAAGTTGAAGAAATATTTATTTGGGAATAAAACGAAAGAAAGCATCACGCTCAATTGTGCCAATTTCGCTATTCGAGGACCATTACTAATGATAATATTGACAACAATTAATAGTACTCTAGTAGTGTAGCCAATTAAAATCCAGGATTTACATTACTTCACTAGTTGGGTAATACTAAGTGTGTTTATTTTTGCTTTCTAAATGTTGACCCATGGGATGACTTTGCCAGCTGAAGGAAAATTATGAGGGGCTTGTGCGTGATAACTTGAGGCCTCCTTTTAGGGCTCTATTTTGGCTCATCTCACAAAAACTCTTGCATGACAACACTTCTCCAGAAGAAGCATTGCGAGACAATGCAAGTTACCACACAAAGGAGACTACTGAAAGTGGTCATAGTAATTTGCTTTCAGTTCATTTGACCATGCACAGACAGTAGACAATGGAAGTTGTTATGCAACCCAACCCTAATACGTTTTCCGATTTTAGGAGAACATGTCACATGTCATGGGTCAAAACTCACCAACTCCTTAGTGAAACAGCTTGAACTTTCAACTCGCATGTAATCAGGTCTTGAAATCGCGGCAAATTGGTATGCCAGCCAGCATCAAGCAAATAATTTTTTCTTGAAAGTATCAAAATCTCAGAAGTCTCACAAGACTTTTGTTAGTGTCAAAGAGAGCATGTAAAATGATGTTTAGAGTTTAGGGCCTCTTTCTTGTTAAATCCCAGTATAAGAAACAGAAGGTTTTCGAAGTTGACATTTGTTTTCTGGTTGCAATGGCATTGATGTCAACAGGAGTTTCATACATGGAAAGCAGATCATTTAGAGAAGTGATGATGTACAGTAGCTCTACCAAGATCAATGCAGTCTGTGATTGGCTTTTTTGTTATCAACAACAATCAATCAGACACTCAGATACATCATTACTTTGGAAATGTGATTGGTGAATTAGATAGTTGTTTACTCTGGCTACACAGAGAAACTCGCAAGTATCATTCTATGTGTCTTTCAGTGCTAAGGAGAAGACAGGATTATCAGAACTCAGATACTTCATCTGTCTGAACGTCGGAATGAAAAATAGCCAAAACTGGTGAAAGGAAATGACTAGCAGGGAGCAGCAAGGAAGAGATGTGCCGTTACAAAAGAACTAGCCAAACTACAGCTCTGGTGCAGTGCTTTTGCACCTCAACAAACGAGAGTCAACATTTCTGTCCAGGCTCCAAGAAGATTTAACTTGCCAAGGGGCTCACAATACCCTCTGCTTTGGGACATGAAAAGTCCCTTGCAGTGCGACTACTCAAACTGGACCACTTAGTAAAGAGTTAACCAGTCTGACAGTAATCGTTTTCTCAAATAAACCAATGACATTGAAGATTACAAACAATAGACCTTAACAAAATTGCACACCCAACCAAGTGCGAAGTGTTGCGAACCTCTCAGGGAACTTTGCCATTTGTTGATTGGTTAGTTTCGATCCTAAATTTTGTTTGCCTTTCAACGGTTTCGGTTTAGTTGTCGCAAACTGAGTTTTCAAGCTAAATTTTGCGAGCGAAATTTATGATGATAATTCACCGTCAAGGTCTCTGAGAGTGTATATAGCGCAGAGGAGTAAATAGCATTTACGTATTTCTGTCAAACAGACCGTTCCATGTCGTGAAGTAAAGCTACCAGTCCACTGTTCCCAGGTTAGATCAATTCACGTTTTGCATGGCTAGTTTTGTTCTAGTGGCCGGTTTGAGTAGTCGCAGTTCAACGATACTTTCAATAATCAGACATTCGCTGTGGAGACAATATCTATATAAAACGTACTTTAATCAGCATACTTTAATATTTGCTCTGATTCTGTACAAATATAACTTTTGTTCTATTTTTCAAGCGGAAAATTCGGCTTCTGCTGGAAAAGAGGTCGCAAAAGGTTCCTGAACTATAGAAACGTTAAAAATCTGAAAAAAAAAAATCGGCTAGACGATGAAAATGTAATGTAAACATGGTTAGCTTGTATGACTACAGGTAACCCAAGCGTAATACAAGAGTTTGTATGGAGAAAATTATGGAATAATCATTGTATGGGTAATTCACGGAATAAAGACTCTCATATTGCGCTTAGGTGACCTGTGGTGCGATTATAACTAGAGAGTTTCCGAAACTCTTGCAAACATTCCTCCATACTGAAGGTTTTCAATTAAGCTGTCCAATTTCAATTAAAACTGTTAAAACTCACAAGCGAATTTGAGAAAACGTTTTCTCCTGACAAAAAGAGAAAATAAACTACAAACACTCTATGTACAACTTGTGTTTTGTTCACGTTTCTATAAAACTTTTCAAATCTCAATAAATAAAAGGCTCACTAACAAAATAATAACATGTTTCTATCCCTTAAACATATTCCTCGTCTTTGGTTCTTGGAGGTCCCGCAGAATCTTTAAGCTGTGCAATGTCTTTGTACACTCCGCGAAGATTGTGGTAGCGCAATCCCCAGTTCAGCACATCGTCCCAGTTGAATAAATCTTTCTTTCCATTTGCTGGCTTGGAGCTCAAAGCGTTTGGTAAAATCTCCTCGTCGCTCATGTTCAACGTGCTGAGAGAGCCTCTGTGAGAAGTTCGGCCCTCGTTCGCTTCAGGATTCTGGTTGCTTGCGTTCATTTTAACATCGTTTAGCTTTGAAAATACCATACTACCGCGGAAGTTGTTGTCCTCTCTACTAGGTTCATCATTGTCGTATTCAAACTCACTGCATGTAAAAGTATCATCGGAACTCTCGCTTGAAGTATCGGGAACTTCGAGAACACTCGACAATTTATCGATTGTCGGCGCGTCTTCGTCGCTTATGGAAGACACTGCATCGAGCAAGCTTCCCGACGGCGGCTGCTTCCGAAGTCTCTCGATCTCTACCGCAGATAATCCCGGCGGCTCCCGACAGTTCAACGATTTGTCCTTGAACGTGTTCGGATCGTATTGGTATGAAACTTCGCTGTAGCCTAGGCTAGCAACCTCGATGTCGTAATGCTCCAGTCTGTCGGAGTTGTCATCAGACCTGAGACCAGCCTCGGAGAAATCCGGAGCGTCATCGCTACTCGAAGAACCCAGCGAACCTTTCCGAAAACGTCGCGAAGACTTCGGGTTCGTCGGTCCACGTAACCTGGGATCCAGGATGCTCCTTGATAGCGGCTGCCGTTTATCCAGACCATGTCTGAAGTGAGGATTGGGAATTTTACGCTCACGATTTTTTGATCTATTGTTGGTGGGCACCGAGCGAGTGTTTTCTTTTTCCAGTGGGGTGCTCCGATGGTTAGGGGTCCTCGACAATCTCGACACATCTCCAAGATCAACAGGTACGTCCTTACCCAAAGCCACTTCATTTCGCATGATAAATTCCCCGTCGGATTCGGAGAAACCCGGGTCGATTTTCTCCTGGGATTTGGTGAGTTTGATCTGATAATCCTCCGGGGCGCCGACGTTGTGTATAACAATGTCTTTGCCGTTCTGCAGGGCCGACTGCCGTAAATCCGTCAGAGACTTCTGGCTCGGATTGCGGATCACCACACCGCTGTCGTCGCTGCTGTGTGAGGGAGACGTCCTCTGCGAGGCGTCTTGGACATCAGCTGCCACCTCAGCTCCGGTCGTAGCGTCAAACTCCACCACGGTCTTGTTATTTGCCTTCTGTCGCAGTCGATAACGACGAGCGAAGATCACCGCTACGATTATCAATATCAATAAAACCAAAAAGAAAGCAATTGCCGCGATCACTCCAGGGCTTAGACGACTGTCGTCATCTCCGTTTCGTCCACCAGTTCCGACGCACTTTCCAACCTCTCCATTACACTTACATGTATAGCTGCCGTCCTTCTGCGGTAAACAAGAGCCATTTATTCCACAAGGATTCGGTTTGCACTGTTTATCGCTGATGCAAGTGGCCAGCTCCCACTCTTCAAAGCAGTAAGGTTTACCCGGGTCTGTGCAGCGAACCGAAGCGCACGAACCACTGCCGTCGCATCCTTCGTCCACCGAGCCGCCCCGAGGTGAAATCGCAGCGAACTTGTTCGGTCCCGAGAAAGACACATGCAGGCCATCAATGCTAAGATCTTTCATGCAGCCAGAGAAACTCGGCAGGTTTAAACCCACGAAAGACGAGTTGTACCCACCCAGGAACCAGGCCTTGATGTCCTTTCCGAGGAAGTCGTGCGCTGAACTGTCGAACAACTTCGTGCGGGCGTCGCCGTCGAGAGTGACAGTCACGCTTTTATCATGGTGGATAATAGTCACGTTATGCCACTCGCCATCTGACACACTGGAAGGAACGGTAAAACTGGCAACGTTACCTCCATTACCGAAACTGTACTTGAGGCTTGCGGACTTTATCTGTTAGAGAAGGAGAAAGTACAACATGAATGTTAATAGGAGGTCTCAGTCTAGACTCGACAAAGCGAACAGAACTCGAAGCGAAAACAATAAATATTTTGCCCATGGCACACGTGACAAAGGCGGAAAACATGCAACCGGTGGAAACACGTGACTAGGTATAAACCGTAAAGCGCGGGGAAAGACGTAACGCGGGTTGCGCGAAAACATCGCTCTGATTGGAGGGTAGAGGAAAATAAAACCTAGCAAAAAATACTCTACAATTATTACCACTTTCAACATTGTTGTGAAATATTGTTTGAATGCAGCAATTGCACTCACCTCTAGAACAGTGTAGCCTGACACAACAGTTGTAGTAGAATCACTGGCGAGAAGGAGAAGACCATTGGCATTTCGAGTACGGAATCTGACAGAAAACTCTTCTTTGCTAGAAGACACTGCTCGTCTCTTTCGAGCCGTGTTACTTTCTCTTTCTTTGCGTTGTTGTTCACGTCGATAACTGTCCTTGAATTGGAGCACTAAGAAGCTGTCTGAGCTGAATTTTACTGGTTGTACTTCTGCAAGGGTGAGGAAAGAAACAGCGATTGTAAGACAATGTATAAAGAATTTGTAAGATATAAGTTCAAACAGAACCATATGGGCGTTCAAAACTGTAAGATAAAAACTTTTAAACATTAAATTCGGTCGACCATGATTTACTGCGGATCCACGAGGCGATAGCCGAGTGGATCCACGGCTACTTTGACAAAGTTATGACGAAATTCATGATCAATAACAGGACAGACGCATGAAAAACTGATGTCAATTTGTTAAAATAATCATTGATAGTCGTTGCTCGAGCATCTTGGTTTCGGGTGCGTAGTGGTTTCTTTCGGTCACCAGCCTGATAATGGCACGGACAGGTTCGCACAGATTTCTAATAAACCATTATCTCTGATATACCCCGAGGTGTTTCCAACAGTCAATGAACTTACCTTGTTCGCAGTTCCTCCCACTGTATCCATCTGCACACTCACAAACGTAATCAAACCAGTAATCCACGCATTTCCCTCCATTCTTACACGTCCCCGAGGTACACTGGCCTAGCCGAGGACAGCGGTCAATGATGCCAGCGGACTCTGTAGCGCTAGCCGGGTCCAGTTTCTTGCCGTTGATGAACAAGTTCCTCACGCAACCAAGAAAATCGTCTGCTTGAATATGCTGGCCAGGGTGATCCAGCGAACGATCGAAGTCCTTTATCCCGCCAATAAACAACGGCGAATTAGACAAGTCCAGTTGACTGCACAGGAAAATAAGGTCGTCCGTCAGAACAGAATTGCAAGTCGTTTATCGACAAAAGCACCAAGATCCACTTCAAAATTCTCATTACTTTGTTCATATATTTTTTAATTAAGCCGGGGGAGAATTAAGTTTTATTGTTCATATATTTTTTAAATAAGCCGGAGGAGAATTAAGTTTTAGGTCAGGGCAATTTCCCAGGACGGTGAGATTCTACAGAGCTTCACTTGAACTGAATTTGACCACAAATAAATAAACATTTTTGATACTTACTCAAATTCTCCTTCAGATTCCACCATAACTTTGGCAGACGAATCTACAGTCACTTCACCAACCTGTCAAACAATGCAAGGGCTCAATAAATGTTGTAAACATTCAAACTGAATAATCTTTTGTTTGAATACAGAGCGATTTTCAATTGGGTGTCGTAAAACCAAAACCAAAGTAATCACTCTAGCCAATCACAAAGCGCACAGACAATCCAGTGAACCAATCAAAACTCAAAGTAATTACATGTAGCTGACGCGAAGGGCGGGAAAACGTGTAGCAGCGAGTCACGATTGGTTTTGGTTTAACTTCTTATTGGATAAAAATTGGCGCGTGTTTTTTAAGCCAATTGTATAGTGTAGACAATGCAAAACCAATTACTTTTAGACGACACTCAGATGAAAACCGCTCTGTTAGCCACTAGAATGTGTTGTTATTGCCGACATTTGCTCCTAATACAGAATACAAGAATATCAAGGAGCTGCTGCTTCATCTTGAGGTATCAAATCTCCTTACTTGCCCATATATGTCATTGTACTTAGTACTAAGAACCAAAATCCTCACGTCTGCTTTACAATGCTGAAATTGTAAGGAGAAAATAGAGTTTGTTCACACAAGATAACGCACTCACCTTCCTATTTCTAATCGCCGTGACAATGTGCCACTGTCCATCGTCTATAGACTTGCCATGCTCCACAACAACTGCACTTCTTGCATAGCCGAGATTAAACGACATCTGGATCTTTCCGCCAATGACCTGTATGGCGATGAAATCGGAGTCTCCGCTATACCTCCCGTCTGCGTTGTAAAGCAACAAACCTTCACTCTTGGCCGTGGAAATCTCGAAAGTGATGTTGTTGAACTTACGCTGTTGTAGACTCTCCAGGGTGGGCAGCGTTAGATACGACACAGATTCAAACCCGAGACACGAGCACTGACAAGCCTTTCCAGAATCGCAGCTACACTTAGGTTGAGCCCAGCTATTGGAAGAGGATACTCGGCAGAAATCGAAACCAGATGAGCAGTTGGCCCCCAAATAACCAGGTTTGCAGTGACACTTGTAGCTCCCCACGAGATTCTCGCATCGTCCGTCGTTCTTGCAAGGCTTCTGTTGACACTCGTCTATATCGTTGGCACAAGCGGATCCGTTAAAACCGGCCGGACATTGGCATTCGTACGAGAAATCTTTGTCCACGCAAGTGGCTCCGTTCTGACACGGTTTGGAGTTGCATCCTTTCTCGCTGATCTCGCACGTCTCCCCGATGTAGCCGGGTTTGCACACGCACTTGAACCTCCAGTCGTAATCCACAGATAAGAATATCACCGGCAGAGTATCTACAGTGGTCGTGGTTCCCAGGGTTTGAACGTAACTGGTGCATTCGCCGCCATTCTGACAGGGACTGCTAGCAGTACAAGGAGTGTAGTCCACATTCTGTATCACGACATTACCATTTCTTTCCAGTTCAGCTTTGTTTTTGCTCAGCAGGTCAGAGAGCGCTTCTCTTGTTATGTACTGCAAATCGTGCGTTTTCGCGGCGACCGACAAGTCGACGAAACCTCCTGATACAGACTTGACACTGAAGAGCTGCGACACAAAACCACGCGGAAGAATACGATTGATCGCATCTAAGAAATCCTGATAGGACCGAGAAAGGAACATTTCTGGGCCTGCCGCCTGCACTCTCACTGTTATACTATTGTTAACCGTTAGCGAGTTGTAGGCGACGAAACGCACTTTAACATCGTATGAAACTGCTGATTTGCCGTCAGTTGCGTTCACTACCAAATCATGGTCAGCGCTTCCATCGTATTTCGTGTTTGTCCTCAAAATGCAGCTTCTTGGAAGGAAATTGAACAATCCGTCGCTGTTCTTGAGAATCTGGCATGTCAAGACGTCATCGACATCCGGGTCATCAGGTTGGACGTTAGCTACTGTCCCGGATGCGAAGCTGTTAAGGCTGTTCACGTGCACCACACGTGCGGTCGGGCGGGGGGCATTGTCATTCACATCCTGGACGAGAATTTGGCAGTACGACACGGCGGACAACTTTGGGGAGCCACCGTCTGAAATTTGGATAGACAAGTTGTATGATGAGATAGTCTCGCGGTCCAGCTCTGCGGTTGTTGTTATCATACCACTAGCGCTGTTTAACTGGAACTTTCCGTAGTCGGTGCCGCTGATGGAGAACGCATAGGGTCCTCGATTGGGATCTACATCTAGGTCTTGGGGTCGCAATGTCACTACAGTGGTACCAGCGGGTTTGTTCTCTTTGACCATGCCCGTAAAGTTGACAGGAAGGCGAGGCGCATTATCATTGACGTCATCAAGATTTACAATGACAGTAGCGTTGCCGGACATAGGAGGGAGCCCTTTATCTGTGGCGGTGACTGTCAGGTGGTACTGTGGGATGGTCTCTCTGTCGAGCCTCTTCGCTGTCCTTATTCTTCCTGTAATCAGATCGATGGTAAAAGCATCTCCAGTGTTGCCAGCGAGAATTCTGTATTCTATCCTTGCTCCTTTCGGCTGATTGGCAAAATCGTCGTCCACAGCCGTGACATTAGTAACAGGCTGGCCAGGATTCTGTTCCTCCTTGACACTGGCATGATAAACACTTTTGAGGAATCGAGGAGCATCGTTAGCGTCCGTGACTGTGACAATTATCGTCGCTAGATCGCTGGTATCAGGCGTCGCGCTTGTCTGTAACGCATTCTTCGCGAGAACTCGAAGCGTTACAATCCCAAATTGCTCGCTGTCCAGCTTCCCAGAGACACTCAGAACCCCCGTGTAGCGATCTATGCTGAATCCTTGACTGTTACTTTCTCCGACCAGCAAATAAACGACCTCACCATCCGGACCCTTGTCTTGGTCTGTTGCGTGTATTTGAGTCACAGACTGCCCAAGTGGTGCGTTCTCCGCCACAGAAGCCTGGAAAAGAGACTTGTTAAACTTCGGTGTATATTCATTCACACTGGTCACGTGAACAAGCACTGTAGCCATTGGTTGTGATTCTAATGGAGGCAATGCCTTATCTCTGGCCATGATGGACAACTCGTACAACTGTTTCACTTCATAGTCGAACACAGTCTTGCTGTTGATCTGTCCGCTGGTTGGATTTATTTCAAATGACACCAAGAGATCTGTGTTGGAGATGCTGTACTCCACCCGTCCTTTGTCGCCCTGATCGGGATCTGAAGCTGTAACAGTAAGAATCGATGCCCCAGGTGCTGTATTCTCTGCAATATATCCATCGTATTCTTGACTTGAGAAAACCGGTCGGTTATCGTTGGCGTCCAGGAGTGAAATTCGGACAGTCACAGTGTCCGAACGAGGCACTTTTCCACCGTCTGTAGCCACAACGCTGAGTACAATTTTACTGGAAAACTCGTAATCCAGCGCCTTCTTCACTAAGATTGAACCGTTCTCTCGACCAATTCCAAGAAATCCTGGCGGATCACTGCTCTCTATGCGATAAACCACTTGGCCGTTCGTTCCTGCGTCCGAATCTGAGGCACTTACTTTTCCAACTTCATCCCCCACAGGCACTGTTTCCTGTACAGGAAAATTGTATTGGCTAACTTGAAACTTGGGTGTGTTGTTGTTGGGTTCTACAATTTCCACGTGAAGACTGGCAAAACTCTCCTTGGCGGGTTGTCCCGTGTCCCGAGCCCTGACCCGTAGGTAGAACACGCCCAGAGTATCAAGGAGACTGGCGGCAGTGACATTACCACTATCTGGATCAATGTTAAACCACGATGTTCCGTTCCCGCTGACTGCCTCGTAGCGTACCAGCGCATTTGTGCCTGCATCCTGATCATCAACCGCCTTTACGCGCGCTACTGTCTCGCCGGCCCTTGTACCACGAACGGCGAAGAAATCATACGAAGGAGACGTGAATACTGGGGTGTGGTCATTACTGTCAGTCACCTCGACAATGACAGGCACAGTTTCTTCGAAAAATGGCGAATAAGAATTCCTGGCTTTCACCGTCACATTGTAAAAGTTCTCGTTCCCAGCAGCGCTCGGTTTCTTGTAGACCAGTACCTTATTGAGGCGTAAAACACCTGTCTGACGACCTATTGTGAAAGTATCGCTTGAAGGAGATGGCAGAATAGANTCCACCAGTTCCGACGCACTTTCCAACCTCTCCATTACACTTACATGTATAGCTGCCGTCCTTCTGCGGTAAACAAGAGCCATTTATTCCACAAGGATTCGGTTTGCACTGTTTATCGCTGATGCAAGTGGCCAGCTCCCACTCTTCAAAGCAGTAAGGTTTACCCGGGTCTGTGCAGCGAACCGAAGCGCACGAACCACTGCCGTCGCATCCTTCGTCCACCGAGCCGCCCCGAGGTGAAATCGCAGCGAACTTGTTCGGTCCCGAGAAAGACACATGCAGGCCATCAATGCTAAGATCTTTCATGCAGCCAGAGAAACTCGGCAGGTTTAAACCCACGAAAGACGAGTTGTACCCACCCAGGAACCAGGCCTTGATGTCCTTTCCGAGGAAGTCGTGCGCTGAACTGTCGAACAACTTCGTGCGGGCGTCGCCGTCGAGAGTGACAGTCACGCTTTTATCATGGTGGATAATAGTCACGTTATGCCACTCGCCATCTGACACACTGGAAGGAACGGTAAAACTGGCAACGTTACCTCCATTACCGAAACTGTACTTGAGGCTTGCGGACTTTATCTGTTAGAGAAGGAGAAAGTACAACATGAATGTTAATAGGAGGTCTCAGTCTAGACTCGACAAAGCGAACAGAACTCGAAGCGAAAACAATAAATATTTTGCCCATGGCACACGTGACAAAGGCGGAAAACATGCAACCGGTGGAAACACGTGACTAGGTATAAACCGTAAAGCGCGGGGAAAGACGTAACGCGGGTTGCGCGAAAACATCGCTCTGATTGGAGGGTAGAGGAAAATAAAACCTAGCAAAAAATACTCTACAATTATTACCACTTTCAACATTGTTGTGAAATATTGTTTGAATGCAGCAATTGCACTCACCTCTAGAACAGTGTAGCCTGACACAACAGTTGTAGTAGAATCACTGGCGAGAAGGAGAAGACCATTGGCATTTCGAGTACGGAATCTGACAGAAAACTCTTCTTTGCTAGAAGACACTGCTCGTCTCTTTCGAGCCGTGTTACTTTCTCTTTCTTTGCGTTGTTGTTCACGTCGATAACTGTCCTTGAATTGGAGCACTAAGAAGCTGTCTGAGCTGAATTTTACTGGTTGTACTTCTGCAAGGGTGAGGAAAGAAACAGCGATTGTAAGACAATGTATAAAGAATTTGTAAGATATAAGTTCAAACAGAACCATATGGGCGTTCAAAACTGTAAGATAAAAACTTTTAAACATTAAATTCGGTCGACCATGATTTACTGCGGATCCACGAGGCGATAGCCGAGTGGATCCACGGCTACTTTGACAAAGTTATGACGAAATTCATGATCAATAACAGGACAGACGCATGAAAAACTGATGTCAATTTGTTAAAATAATCATTGATAGTCGTTGCTCGAGCATCTTGGTTTCGGGTGCGTAGTGGTTTCTTTCGGTCACCAGCCTGATAATGGCACGGACAGGTTCGCACAGATTTCTAATAAACCATTATCTCTGATATACCCCGAGGTGTTTCCAACAGTCAATGAACTTACCTTGTTCGCAGTTCCTCCCACTGTATCCATCTGCACACTCACAAACGTAATCAAACCAGTAATCCACGCATTTCCCTCCATTCTTACACGTCCCCGAGGTACACTGGCCTAGCCGAGGACAGCGGTCAATGATGCCAGCGGACTCTGTAGCGCTAGCCGGGTCCAGTTTCTTGCCGTTGATGAACAAGTTCCTCACGCAACCAAGAAAATCGTCTGCTTGAATATGCTGGCCAGGGTGATCCAGCGAACGATCGAAGTCCTTTATCCCGCCAATAAACAACGGCGAATTAGACAAGTCCAGTTGACTGCACAGGAAAATAAGGTCGTCCGTCAGAACAGAATTGCAAGTCGTTTATCGACAAAAGCACCAAGATCCACTTCAAAATTCTCATTACTTTGTTCATATATTTTTTAATTAAGCCGGGGGAGAATTAAGTTTTATTGTTCATATATTTTTTAAATAAGCCGGAGGAGAATTAAGTTTTAGGTCAGGGCAATTTCCCAGGACGGTGAGATTCTACAGAGCTTCACTTGAACTGAATTTGACCACAAATAAATAAACATTTTTGATACTTACTCAAATTCTCCTTCAGATTCCACCATAACTTTGGCAGACGAATCTACAGTCACTTCACCAACCTGTCAAACAATGCAAGGGCTCAATAAATGTTGTAAACATTCAAACTGAATAATCTTTTGTTTGAATACAGAGCGATTTTCAATTGGGTGTCGTAAAACCAAAACCAAAGTAATCACTCTAGCCAATCACAAAGCGCACAGACAATCCAGTGAACCAATCAAAACTCAAAGTAATTACATGTAGCTGACGCGAAGGGCGGGAAAACGTGTAGCAGCGAGTCACGATTGGTTTTGGTTTAACTTCTTATTGGATAAAAATTGGCGCGTGTTTTTTAAGCCAATTGTATAGTGTAGACAATGCAAAACCAATTACTTTTAGACGACACTCAGATGAAAACCGCTCTGTTAGCCACTAGAATGTGTTGTTATTGCCGACATTTGCTCCTAATACAGAATACAAGAATATCAAGGAGCTGCTGCTTCATCTTGAGGTATCAAATCTCCTTACTTGCCCATATATGTCATTGTACTTAGTACTAAGAACCAAAATCCTCACGTCTGCTTTACAATGCTGAAATTGTAAGGAGAAAATAGAGTTTGTTCACACAAGATAACGCACTCACCTTCCTATTTCTAATCGCCGTGACAATGTGCCACTGTCCATCGTCTATAGACTTGCCATGCTCCACAACAACTGCACTTCTTGCATAGCCGAGATTAAACGACATCTGGATCTTTCCGCCAATGACCTGTATGGCGATGAAATCGGAGTCTCCGCTATACCTCCCGTCTGCGTTGTAAAGCAACAAACCTTCACTCTTGGCCGTGGAAATCTCGAAAGTGATGTTGTTGAACTTACGCTGTTGTAGACTCTCCAGGGTGGGCAGCGTTAGATACGACACAGATTCAAACCCGAGACACGAGCACTGACAAGCCTTTCCAGAATCGCAGCTACACTTAGGTTGAGCCCAGCTATTGGAAGAGGATACTCGGCAGAAATCGAAACCAGATGAGCAGTTGGCCCCCAAATAACCAGGTTTGCAGTGACACTTGTAGCTCCCCACGAGATTCTCGCATCGTCCGTCGTTCTTGCAAGGCTTCTGTTGACACTCGTCTATATCGTTGGCACAAGCGGATCCGTTAAAACCGGCCGGACATTGGCATTCGTACGAGAAATCTTTGTCCACGCAAGTGGCTCCGTTCTGACACGGTTTGGAGTTGCATCCTTTCTCGCTGATCTCGCACGTCTCCCCGATGTAGCCGGGTTTGCACACGCACTTGAACCTCCAGTCGTAATCCACAGATAAGAATATCACCGGCAGAGTATCTACAGTGGTCGTGGTTCCCAGGGTTTGAACGTAACTGGTGCATTCGCCGCCATTCTGACAGGGACTGCTAGCAGTACAAGGAGTGTAGTCCACATTCTGTATCACGACATTACCATTTCTTTCCAGTTCAGCTTTGTTTTTGCTCAGCAGGTCAGAGAGCGCTTCTCTTGTTATGTACTGCAAATCGTGCGTTTTCGCGGCGACCGACAAGTCGACGAAACCTCCTGATACAGACTTGACACTGAAGAGCTGCGACACAAAACCACGCGGAAGAATACGATTGATCGCATCTAAGAAATCCTGATAGGACCGAGAAAGGAACATTTCTGGGCCTGCCGCCTGCACTCTCACTGTTATACTATTGTTAACCGTTAGCGAGTTGTAGGCGACGAAACGCACTTTAACATCGTATGAAACTGCTGATTTGCCGTCAGTTGCGTTCACTACCAAATCATGGTCAGCGCTTCCATCGTATTTCGTGTTTGTCCTCAAAATGCAGCTTCTTGGAAGGAAATTGAACAATCCGTCGCTGTTCTTGAGAATCTGGCATGTCAAGACGTCATCGACATCCGGGTCATCAGGTTGGACGTTAGCTACTGTCCCGGATGCGAAGCTGTTAAGGCTGTTCACGTGCACCACACGTGCGGTCGGGCGGGGGGCATTGTCATTCACATCCTGGACGAGAATTTGGCAGTACGACACGGCGGACAACTTTGGGGAGCCACCGTCTGAAATTTGGATAGACAAGTTGTATGATGAGATAGTCTCGCGGTCCAGCTCTGCGGTTGTTGTTATCATACCACTAGCGCTGTTTAACTGGAACTTTCCGTAGTCGGTGCCGCTGATGGAGAACGCATAGGGTCCTCGATTGGGATCTACATCTAGGTCTTGGGGTCGCAATGTCACTACAGTGGTACCAGCGGGTTTGTTCTCTTTGACCATGCCCGTAAAGTTGACAGGAAGGCGAGGCGCATTATCATTGACGTCATCAAGATTTACAATGACAGTAGCGTTGCCGGACATAGGAGGGAGCCCTTTATCTGTGGCGGTGACTGTCAGGTGGTACTGTGGGATGGTCTCTCTGTCGAGCCTCTTCGCTGTCCTTATTCTTCCTGTAATCAGATCGATGGTAAAAGCATCTCCAGTGTTGCCAGCGAGAATTCTGTATTCTATCCTTGCTCCTTTCGGCTGATTGGCAAAATCGTCGTCCACAGCCGTGACATTAGTAACAGGCTGGCCAGGATTCTGTTCCTCCTTGACACTGGCATGATAAACACTTTTGAGGAATCGAGGAGCATCGTTAGCGTCCGTGACTGTGACAATTATCGTCGCTAGATCGCTGGTATCAGGCGTCGCGCTTGTCTGTAACGCATTCTTCGCGAGAACTCGAAGCGTTACAATCCCAAATTGCTCGCTGTCCAGCTTCCCAGAGACACTCAGAACCCCCGTGTAGCGATCTATGCTGAATCCTTGACTGTTACTTTCTCCGACCAGCAAATAAACGACCTCACCATCCGGACCCTTGTCTTGGTCTGTTGCGTGTATTTGAGTCACAGACTGCCCAAGTGGTGCGTTCTCCGCCACAGAAGCCTGGAAAAGAGACTTGTTAAACTTCGGTGTATATTCATTCACACTGGTCACGTGAACAAGCACTGTAGCCATTGGTTGTGATTCTAATGGAGGCAATGCCTTATCTCTGGCCATGATGGACAACTCGTACAACTGTTTCACTTCATAGTCGAACACAGTCTTGCTGTTGATCTGTCCGCTGGTTGGATTTATTTCAAATGACACCAAGAGATCTGTGTTGGAGATGCTGTACTCCACCCGTCCTTTGTCGCCCTGATCGGGATCTGAAGCTGTAACAGTAAGAATCGATGCCCCAGGTGCTGTATTCTCTGCAATATATCCATCGTATTCTTGACTTGAGAAAACCGGTCGGTTATCGTTGGCGTCCAGGAGTGAAATTCGGACAGTCACAGTGTCCGAACGAGGCACTTTTCCACCGTCTGTAGCCACAACGCTGAGTACAATTTTACTGGAAAACTCGTAATCCAGCGCCTTCTTCACTAAGATTGAACCGTTCTCTCGACCAATTCCAAGAAATCCTGGCGGATCACTGCTCTCTATGCGATAAACCACTTGGCCGTTCGTTCCTGCGTCCGAATCTGAGGCACTTACTTTTCCAACTTCATCCCCCACAGGCACTGTTTCCTGTACAGGAAAATTGTATTGGCTAACTTGAAACTTGGGTGTGTTGTTGTTGGGTTCTACAATTTCCACGTGAAGACTGGCAAAACTCTCCTTGGCGGGTTGTCCCGTGTCCCGAGCCCTGACCCGTAGGTAGAACACGCCCAGAGTATCAAGGAGACTGGCGGCAGTGACATTACCACTATCTGGATCAATGTTAAACCACGATGTTCCGTTCCCGCTGACTGCCTCGTAGCGTACCAGCGCATTTGTGCCTGCATCCTGATCATCAACCGCCTTTACGCGCGCTACTGTCTCGCCGGCCCTTGTACCACGAACGGCGAAGAAATCATACGAAGGAGACGTGAATACTGGGGTGTGGTCATTACTGTCAGTCACCTCGACAATGACAGGCACAGTTTCTTCGAAAAATGGCGAATAAGAATTCCTGGCTTTCACCGTCACATTGTAAAAGTTCTCGTTCCCAGCAGCGCTCGGTTTCTTGTAGACCAGTACCTTATTGAGGCGTAAAACACCTGTCTGACGACCTATTGTGAAAGTATCGCTTGAAGGAGATGGCAGAATAGAATACAGGATTTCAGCGTTGGTTCCCTCGTCATCATCCACGGCACTCACGTTCATCGCCGCAGCTCCAACTGGCAGTTTTTCACGAATTTGTTGTGTTAAAGGATCAGAAAGGAATCTTGGTGGACTGTCGTTAACATCCAAGATAATCACAGTGAAGTTAGACGTCGTTATGTGCTGTGAGTCACTCACTGTCACTTGCAGTGTGTAGTGGGATTTCACCTCTCGATTCAGGGCGTTCTTCACTGTCAGTCTGCCGTTATTTGCATCAAGAGTGAACGCATCGTCTGGATTTCCACCCGCGGCAAAACCAAATTGCAGCAGGGAACCAATTTGAGTATCAGCATCTTGAGCGCTCAGCACAGCAACAAGGCTTCCCACAGAAACGTTTTCGTAAACGGAGGCTGTCCGAGGATCTTCAAAAATAGGGGGGTTGTCATTGATATCCTGCACGTTTACCACCACAACTGCTTCGCTAGCCATGGACCTGTTTGCCACATCTTCAGCGCGAATTTTAAATGTGTACGAAGAGATTTTTTCATGGTCGAGTCGAACTTTGGAAGAGACACGCCCGGTCTTGGAAGAAACTGCAAAAGCTGAACTGGCCTGGCTGTTAGCAGACACCAGTTTATACTCCAACACTGCATTGGCCGCCGAGTCAGAATCCGACGCGGACACCCACAGCACTGTTGTGTTGACAGGGAGTTCCTCTTGAATGTCCGCTCGATAAATGTTCTTTGAGAATACAGGACGGTTGTCATTCTCATCGATGACTTCCACGTGGATTGTGACGAAGCCCGAGAGTGGCTGGCTGCTTCCATCCTTGGCACCAATCACCACAGTATAATTCCTCTGTTCCTCATAGTCCAAGTGCGACTTGATCTTCAACTCTCCGCCAACATTATCCAGCTCAAATACACCTCCCACGTTCCCTGCAGCAATGAAGTAAGCCGTGTGTCCGGTTGCATTGACAGTGACCAATTTAGTCCCCACTGGCGCCTGCTCGGAGACCCGAATACTTTGGTCCTGGTGTTGGAATACTGGGAATGATCCTGACTTTACACTGATTTGTACGTTTGTAGTGTCGGAGCGCTGTGGTGCATTCACGTTAGAGGCCTTCACACTAAAAGAATACGATAAGGGGCTTGAAGGTACGTTTTGGGCCACAGTGATGATGCCTGTTCTTGGAGCAATATTAAAGACTGCAGAAGAGCCACTTATTATGGTGTACTCGGACTCGGCGTTAGGGCCTATATCTTCATCTACAGCAGGCACCATAATGACAAAAGTACCTGGAGGAGCACCTGGCGCTACTGTTGCTGTGTACTGACTTGAGCCAAACACAGGATCAAAGTCATTCACATCTTCAACCGTTACAACTAACTCAGCTTTTCCTTGTTGACTGCTGGTCCCTCTGTCAGTGGCCACCACTTCCAGCCTATACACCGGAGTCACTTCACGATTGAGGAGAGCAGTGGTTGTTATTTTTCCAGTATCAGAGTCAATCTTAAACAAGTCGAAAGTCATGGTCAATGAGTATGTGATCTTTGCGTTTATTCCAGCATCAGCATCAGTCGCAGTCACTTGCAAGACACTGGCACCTGCAGCAGCATTTTCCCTGACTGAAGCTCTGAGACTGGCCGGCTGGAACACCGGTGGGTTGTCATTTTCATCGCTTACTTTCACAACGACCTCGGTTTCTCCTTCACGGGGTGGTGTTCCTCCATCTGTAGCCAGAACTTTCAGCATATATTCGGCCTGCTTCTCTCTGTCTAAATCACTCGTCAGTCCTATCTGACCAGTAAGGCTGTTGATTTTAAAAACACCATCACCATCAATGATGTCATAAGTGACGCTGCCATTTCTCCCTTCATCGTTGTCCACAGCTTTCACAGTGATGACATCGGGATCAAGGTAATTTTCAGGAACTTGTGTGGTGTAAGAAGCTTGAGAGAAGGAGGGAGTGTTGTCATTGATGTCAAGTAGAATAATCTCCAGCACCTTGTCAGCGAACTGTGACGGTGCTCCCAGGTCAGACGCTCGAATGACAAGGCTATACTTGGGCGTGGTCTCTCTGTCCAGAGATCTGATGGTACTTAGTATCCCATTCTTGGAATTCATCTCAAAGGTTCCATTCTCATTTCCAGACATGATCCTGTAGTGCACTTCTGCATTGCTCCCTTCGTCAGCATCCGTGGCTGACAAGCTTGTAACTTGACTTCCAATCGAAATGTCCTCATCGACTCTCACTTCACTCGGCCCTGGCTGGAAAGCCGGTTTATGGTCATTGTAATCATCAACTACAATTGTCATCTTCAGTTCTGCGCGCCTCACTGGAACACCCTGGTCTGCTGCAATCACTTTCACAAGATAGCGGTCTCTGACTTCACGATCCAGGCTTCCTGACACTCGGAGCACACCATCGGTCGCGCCTAAGCTAAATGGTGCCAGAGCATCAATCTTGACTAGACTAAAACTAATCTTGCTGTTACTTCCTGCGTCTGAATCAGCTACCATGACCGTGGTCACAATATCACCAATTGTCGCATGCTCAGATATGTGGGTGATATTACTGGATATGAAATATGGGCTGTTATCATTGACATCTACGATGTTCACAGTGACAGTTGCTGTGCTTGATAATTGAGCTGCCACAGGTACTGCCTGGTCTCTCGCCATGATGGTGAGAAGGTAGGAACTCTTTTTCTCGCGGTCAAATTCTTTAAGGTTGTAGATAGTACCATTTGAGTAAATTGAGAAAGTGCGGTCATTGTTTCCAGAGAGTATTGTGTATGTAAGGAGTGCATTGGTGCCAAAGTCCTTATCAGTAGCTGACACGCTCTCAATACTGCTGTGTGTTGCAGTGCCTTCTGAGACACTTACAGAGTACCAACTTGGTTTAAATTGTGGAACATTATCATTCCTGTCCAACACATTCACATAAACTTCAACATGGGCAGTCATAGATGGATCACCACTGTCGCTTGCCGAGACATTGAGAATGAAAATTTCAACAGCCTCTCTATCAAGCAATTTTGCAACTTTAAGATTTCCACTCATTGGGTCAACAGAGAAGACGTCTTGGTGACTGCCTGTAATGCTGTAGCTGATAATGGCATTTGGTCCAGTGTCGCTGTCTGATGCCACCACGGTCCCTATGACAGTACCAACTGCAGTCCCCTCCACAGCATCAAAAGAATAAAACAAATGAGAAAATTGAGGTGCATTGTTATTAGCAGCAGTCACTGTCACCATTACAACACAGCTTGAGTATAGTCTTGGACTCCCTTTATCTGTTGCAGTCACATTTAAGCTGTACTTTGCTCGAGATTGATAATTGAGTACTGTCCGGGTGGTAATCACACCTGTTGTGATATTAATTTGGAATGCATTGCCATCATTCCCATCCACAATGGAATACTCAAGTTCCGCATTGGATCCGTCATCTTTGTCAACAGCAGAAACAGTTACAACACTTGCACCGGCTGGAAGATTTTCTTTTACACTTGATCTGTAAACACTGGACAAAAATATTGGGTTGTTATCATTCTTATCTCCCAGGGAAATTTCCACTGTAACACTGCTGGTCCGAGCACTTGATCCACTCAAATCCACTGCATATACAGTCAGCACAAACAGAGATGTGGAGAAAATCTCACGGTCAAGCTCAAAGGCAGTTGTGATGTCACCATTGTCTGCATTCAAGACAAATGAACCATTACTGGAATCAGAGGTGATGTAGTATTTGATTATTGCACCGGGTAAACTTGGAGTAAATGTTGCTTGAACTCGAGTAACCAATGTCCCTTTACCACTGTTTTCATCCACAGAGTCTCTGTAGATCGCTGAACTGAATGTAGGGCCACTGTTTGGCTGTCCCTTCTTGAAGACTGTCAAAGTAGTGTCGGTACTAAGAGAAGGAACACCGCTATCCTTGGCCGATACTGTTAGGGTGAAACGCAGCTGGTTACTGGGTAACTGAGATTTTGCAAATAACTCTCCTGTGTTCGAGTCTAACCGGAAAATGTTGGTATCTCCACTCTTAATGACATAGTCTACCTTCCCATTCACTCCGGTATCAGCATCCTTGGCTAGTATAGTCGTGACAAGATCATTAGCCGCTAAATTGCCAACCACTGCCACAGCAGGAGCAGTCACAAATCTGGGTTTGTTGTCATTCACATCCTTTAGCACAACTATAATCTCCTTGGTGGATGAAAGTCTCTTTGGCTCAGGACTTGCATTGTCCATAGCCCTGATAACAAGTTTATATGAGTGGGCATGTTCACGGTCTAGCTTCTGTCTTGTCTTGATCATACAAGTCACAGGGTTCACCTTGAAAGCCATGTCTTCAACTGGGGTCTGACTGTCAATACTAAATGTTACATGGCCATTTTCTCCACTGTCCTTGTCAGTCGCTGAACACTGACCAATCTCAGAACCAACTGTAACATTTTCAAAAACACGGATAGTATTTGGCTGATCCGCAAACTTTGGAGCATTGTCATTTTCATCAAGGACATTAACACTGAGCCATGACACAGAAGACTGGGGTGGGCTTCCACGATCATCTGCAGTTATATTGAGAAGATACTTTGTTGTCTTCTCAAAGTTGAGTGGCTTGATGAGAAATACCTCGCCTGTCAGGTGATTGATGTCAAATACAGCTTCCAAATTTCCAGATGTAATAGTGTATGCAATCTCAGAATTGACACCTTCATCCATGTCAGTTGCCTGCACCACAGCAATTTGGGAAGATAATGCCAAATTTTCAGAGACATTAACAGTGGAGAACGTCACATTGAATTTAGGCTTGTTGTCATCAGCATCACCCACCACAATTTCAAGACGCACTTGAGAAAACATGGAGGAGTTGGAAGTATCAGTTGCTTGAACAGTGAGAGTGTAATGATCCACTACTTCTCTGTCAAGTGAGGAGTTGAGAAAGAGATTTCCATCGACGGGATCGATGTAAAACACTTGTGGACTAGGTCCAGCTACAATGGAGAAATTGAAGTTGGCATTCTCTCCGTCATCAGGGTCTGTTGCCATGACTTTGTAAACAATTCCTACTTGAGACGACTCTTGAACTGTCACATAAACCACTGAACGGCGGAACCAGGGTAGGTTGTCATTTTCATCTTCAATTGTAACTACCACAATAGCTGAATCTTGTCTTGATGGTGTGTCATTGTACTCCGCCTTTGCTAGAAATGTTACAACATTGTGTCCACTCTGCGAAACTAGTTGCTCACGATCAAACATTCTTCTTGTAATGATTTGTCCTGTTTGAGAATCAACTACAAAATCCTCCTGAACTGCGACAAGAGAATAAACAACCCTCCTGTCTTTCAAGGAATTACCTGCCTTAAGAAGTAGTTGGCCAACACTGGTACCTGGTAGTTGGTTTTCCATCAGAGTAAATTCAAAAGTGTCATTAACAAACATGGCTTGATGCTCAGTGGAATCTTGAATGTTAACTGTAACTGAAGCAGAACTTGTGAGAGGTGGAGTTCCCTTGTCAGTTGCAGTAACTGAGATCTGGAACGAACTCTTTGCTTGGTTAAGATTCTTTGTTACATACAACAATCCTTCTGAGGAAATTCCAAAGAATCCTTCCTCATTGCCTTGTGGAGCAATCAAATATGTCAGCATGCCATTGTCACCAGCATCTGGATCAAAAGCAATAACAGGAAGGAAGCGCTTATCCACAGGCAAATTACGGGGAATGTCAACAACAGATGAGGATGACAAAAATCTTGGTGGTTGATTAGTTTCAATGCTCACAGTTAACATAAAGGCTGCATGAAGCGGAGGGGATCCTTGATCAGAAGCAAACACTTGCAGCATATATACAGGATCATCTATACTGGTTATCTTCCTGGCCAATGAAACCACACCTGAAGTAACATTCACTTTAAAAAGGCCATTGCCATCCGCAGTCAACTGATAATGAACCACACCATTCAGACCAGCATCTTCATCAGACGCTGAAGCCAGGTAAATGTCTTTCCCGACAGCCCAGGTAGCATCAATAGTCACTTGTGCACTAGGAGTTTTGAAGACTGGGGGATTGTCATTTCGGTCCAAGACATTTATGTTCACTGATGTACTTGCAGATAAGGGACGCACTGTTCCCACCTTGGCTAAAACACTAATGAAGTAGTTATCTTTCACTTCCCTGTCCACATGTCCATCGACCATAATAATTCCACCAGC